CTGCACCTTGTTGTCTCGGATTCTCCAGCATCTGTAGTTCCTACTATCTCTGCTGGAAGTGAATTACATTTATACAGCAATTATCGGTAATAGTTGGACTGGACCTTGTCTATATTGGAATTTTTCTTTCTGAACTTTTTTTCTATAAATGTTTTCTATGAATGAACGGCTCTGTCTCTCTTTCCAAGAGGCACTCAAAGCTTTGACATATGGCTGAAACAACTGCAATCAAAAAATAATCTTTTAATTCTAGATAGGTTCAAATGACAAAAGTCTGTCTGAGAATTTCTTCGTGGAATTAAAATGGAAGTACTAATACCACATGGGCTGCAAACAATCAAAAAGCTGGCTCTCTGCCAACCTCTCAAGGGTTGCTAAGACTGGGCAATAAATGCTGGCCTTGTCCATGATGCATGCATCCCAAGGATGAACAAAAGAAATTGCCACCACACTGGAATGATACTACAGCAGTACAAAAACCTAATGAATATCAGACTGCCTCCTCCTTAGCATCCATATTGATGATCTCTATAGTCAAGTCCAGATCAGATTATGGAATTCTACTGCAGTTTAGAATTACTGCAAAGAACCTGCTTCTCAGCAATGCTAAAGTTGCTTTACCAACTAATTCAAGGTTCGTTTATAGCAAAAAGAGTTTCATCTCATCATAGCCGAGCTTTCAGAAGTTAAAAACAATATGTAAAACTGCTGCACATTCCAACTCCCTAACTGCAATTCTTTAAGAATTGTGGGAGTGGGCAGAAAAATGGCAAATAGAATTCAATGCAGAAAACCCTGAAATTATCCATTTGAGAAGGGCAAACCAAACAAGGGAATACACAACAAATGGGAGGGTATTGAGATGGGTTGATGAAGTGAGATATCAGGTCCATAGGATCCTGAAGATGACAGAACAGTTATGTAGATGGTAAACAAGGCATATGAGACTTTCTTTCATTTGGTAAGATATTGAGTACAAAAGGAGGAATGCAATGCTGGAACTATATAAGATGGTGATTAAGCTGTAACTGGAGTTTTGTGTTCAGTTCTGATCACCAGATGAGAGGAAGGACATAAATGCATTTGAGAGAGTGCAAAGGAGATACGCAAGGACATTGCAGCTGCTTGAAAATTGTAGTAATGTGGAAAGATTGCATAGGTTGGAGTTGTTTACTGCAGAACAGAGGAGACTGAGGGGGCGACTTAGCTGAGGCCCACAAAATGATGAGGCACTTGAATGAAATGGACAGGGAAGACCTGTTTCCCTGGAGGTGGGGTAGGTTTTAAGGGTTGCAGATTTAAAATAGTTAGATTAGTGGAGAAATGAGGCCAAAATGCTTCACCCAGAGAGTGTTGGGAACCTGGAATTTACTGCTCAGTCTGATGGGTGAGGTTGAGACTCTGAAACACTGACTTACAAGGCTATGGTCCAGGGGCTGGAAAGTGAGACTAGAATGGATAACCAGTTTAGTCAGATGGCGCACACATGATTGAATAGACTTCTTCTTTGCTGTAACCTTTCTATGGCTTTGTGAAGGGAACAGCCAGTTTCGCAGTTTCACTCCTTTCTGGTTTCTTGTTGAACTGAGAATATTGCAGACTACTACATGCTCTGTTACATCAGACTGTCTTGATGATACTGATTTAAGATAAGCTAAAAGCAATGTAATTTAGTTCAAGCAATTGAGGCAAGATTTTGCAAGCATTACAAAGCAGAACACAGCTTGTAATTGCAGATCAACGTTACTGGGGGAAATTAAATGTAGTAAGTCAGTGAGCCTGACATCCAGTCTCACTGGATTCACACAAAAGCATAATTTATAGTCTCATAAGTAGTCTCTTTACTCAATAAATACCAGACAAAGGCAGCTACAGTTTTGTTTGCAGAGATTTTTTATTTGTTCGTGGGATATGAGTTTTCCTCACAAGCAATTTCTAGTTAGCTGAGAAAATGAGCCATTTTCTGGAACTCTGGTAGCCTATGTGATGTAGCTACTTCCACAGTGCTGGTAGTTATCAAGTTCCTTTTAACTCAATGACAGTGAAGGAACTGTGATATAATTCAAAGTCAGGATAATATATGACTTGGAGGGATTTTGAAGGCAATGGTCATTCCAAAGACCTGCTGCTCTTGTTCTTCTAAATGGGAGAAGTTATGGGTTCAGACAGTGCTGTAAAAGGAGCTGCGGTGAGTTTCTGCAGGGCATCTTATAGATGGTACACACTGCAGCCATGGTGTACTAATGATGAACCAAGTGATGTTTAAGATTGATACCAATGTGGAAGACTGCTTCAGCAATATTTTGTGATTTCCACTTTATCTTAAACATGATGCCTGCACTTGGCTGTTATAAGGCAGGTATGATTCTGTGTGCCTTCATTCATACTCTGTGAGAATGCCCCACAGTGTGGACTCGTTTGCATGTTGATTTTTTTCTTAACTTTATTTAGTGTCATACATTATTTTAAAATGATATTCAATACTTTAGTAAACGTTTTAATTTCTCCAACTCAATTATCTATATCTGATTCAGCTGCCTCATTACAAACTGTCTCAAGTTCATTGAACAGTATCATTTTTCTCTGAACAGCTTGTTTTTCCAAACAATGTGATAAGACTTGAAAGGTGAAGTATTCTAGATATAATGGATACGCATCAGGAACGCCAACTTGTGTATTTCTTAGGCTAAAACCTAGGGCACTGCTTGTTACAACTAACTGACTAAAACAACCAATTTTGCTCGCTACCCTTTGTTTCCCATTACATATTTGATTTATTAGTAAATTCATAGCATCCTCCTTTATCTCAATAGCAATAGTTAGTTACACATTTTGTGTGAAACATCAAATTAAGTGGCATCCAATAGTGAAGATATATAATGTTGCATTTAGCTATCAGTTCCAATACATCCTCAAAGGAGTGCAATAAATCTGCTGTTGTGGTCTGGCATTTCATAAACTGATACTGGGTTGAATTATTGCCTTTATTCTTAAGTGTTCACAAATTGCTTCTTTCATTGAAATTCACAATGCTTTGTGGATTATGTCAAGTTAACAGCCTTTTTATTCCCAGGATCATATTTCTGATAACCAGAAGCCATGAGATCTTTTTCAGTCATTTGATGTTAATCTGGTATTTGAGATATGAAAAATTCTGCCCAAGCCCTATCTGTTCCATTCTCACATGCTTTGGCATTCTTGGACATGTTCCTACTGATCCTTTTACCTCAATGATTTCTGTGCACTGCAAATTTAAGTGACATCATCACTACCATCTTCCCAATAATTAAAGGTGGATTTCTCAGTCCAAGTACCAAAAGGTAATTATTTTACAAATTTATCTAATTCTGCTGTCTCACCTTCAGTCATTTGAGTTCCATTTCTATTTAGTGCTTTGCCTATAATACTTGTGCATGTGCACTCAAAACCTCACTTAGAATCACAGAGTTCAACAGCACAGAAACAGAACCTTCAGTCCAACTTGTCCATGCCAACCAGATGTCCTAAATAAAATTAGTCCCATTTGCCTGGCTTTTGCCCATATCCCTCTACCCCATCCTATCCATCCAGGTGCCCATAATGACTGTCTTCTGTGACCTTAGATGCAAAC